AAACTGTTTATCATATTGCCAACACTAACTTCAAGCTGGCTATATAGCCAAGGATGGTCCTGAACTTCTGATCCTCCTACCAAGTGCAGAGTATGTGACACAATGCTTAGCTAGAAAACAATAAATTGCCCTTCCTATTTCCCTCTTCCAACTACATTATAGTGTAGTTTATAAGATAATCAGAATAACAAGTTCTTTGCTCACTTTTCAAGGCTTTCTCTATGGAGACATTTATACCCATACAGACCTTATGATTTCCTATTTTTTTTTTGACTTAGATTTAAAAGTTTACATTTTGGTGCTGGTGAGATGGTTCAGTACGATAAAGGCACTTATTGTCAAGCCTGATGACCTGAGTTCAATGCCTGGGACCTATGTGGTAGAAAAACAACTCCTGCTCCTCTGAACTCCCCAGGAGTGTCATGTCACCTCCTTTCTCTAAGAGAAAATTTTAATTTTTAAAGTTTATTATTTTCACATTTATTATAACCTGGATCCCTTAAGTTTAACTGCCCTATTTAGTTAGTATAAAATCTACCAACCATAAATCCTAAAACATTTCTATAGTACATCCCTTCTGATTTCCTTTTCTCCTTCATGTTCAGATGGTATCAGCTACTGTGCACATTCCAACTGTTCTACTTGCTGCTCACTTCTTCCATCCTCTTTCCTGAACTTCATAACACACAAACCTGGCCATACAGTTCCTATATTTATAAATCTCTCTAGGGGTCTAGAAATGTCCACTAATTGAAAGCCATTAGAATTACCTTAAAGCACACTGCACCCTCCAGAGTTCACATTTCATTAACTGAGGGAGGGGCAGGGATTAGAAAGTGGTAGAGAGGTGTTTGCTCTGAAGTAGTCCATGCATATGCCACATACTCTTAATTAGTTTGGGTCTCCATTATAATGCTAGCATTTTGAAAAAGTTTACTTTAAAAACAAACAGGGCTGGAGGGAGAAGTACACACCTTTAATTCTAGCACTGAGGATGCAAAGAGGCAAGAGGATTCTGTGAGTTTGAGGCCCACCTAGTCTACTATCTATAATGAGTTCCAGGACAGCCAGGGCTATGTAGAAAGATCTGTTTCAAAAAACAAAACAAAAAATCTATTATGGACTAGGCATATAGCTCAGTGGTAAAGTACTTGCATAGCAAGTTAAACCTCCTTAGTTAAACCTCACTGAAAACTCCTCACAGAAACACTCAAAGAGGTACATCCTAAGAGATTATAGATGAGGTCAAGCAGAAAATTTAAATTCACCACCACTTGAACTTGAACTTACACAGAGATTAATGGCTTCATCAAATTTTGGTTGATTTTGTTGTTTTTCAAGACAGGGTTTCCCTGTATAACAGCCCTAGCTATGTTAGAACTCACTTTGTAGACCAGGCTGGCCTCAAACTCACAAAGATCTGCCTGCCTCTGCCTTCTGAGTGCTGGAATTAAAGTGTATCACCACACCCAGCCATATTTGTTTGTTTTTTCAGACAGGGTGTTACTACCATGGCAGACCTGAAACTCACTATGTGGACCAAACTAGCTTCAAACTCAGATCCACTTGATTCCGCCAAAATAAAGAAAAAAAGTCAGTCAGTAATGGTAGTGAATGCTTAAATGCAGTTAAGAAGTTGAGGCAGGAGAAACAGGAATTCAAGGACAGCCCATGCTATATAGATCTTGTTCCAATAAAGAGAGGAAAGAAAGAAGCATTAGCATGAAAGTCAATTAAGTTGACTTTTTAAGTACAATAAAATAACATTTTCTCTTTCTCTTCCCATTTTTCTGGGTAGCTGACCAAGAACACAGATGTTAAGTATATTATATAAAGCTAGCATTCCAGTATTAAAGTGAGATGAGGAGAAGGACTAGGAAATAAGCTGGTGCTGTCTCAGAATGAGATGTGCAGCCCTAATGGAGCAGTGGCAGAGACATGCACATATAAAAACAGAACTTCAGTTCAAATCTACTACAAATGACCTTCTTTATACCATTCTCCTTAAATGAAGCATTTCAGATTTCTATCCTTCAAAGAATAAAATTAAAACACGCCTGAAACAGTTGTGACTGCAACTCTAGTTCTAAAAAAAAAAATTCCACCATGTAGATCCCAGGGATTGAACTCAGGTTTGACACCAATGACCATTACTGCTGAACCATCTCATGGACCCTGAAATGCTCAGGGTTTGTTGGTGGTATTGTTGTTTTGTTTTTTTAACCATCCAGTCACTAAGTTGTGAAAGGACGGGGATTAGAAAAGACATTACCATATTTGTTTTATCTGTTCCAATTATAACATTCCAGATTTTATTTTAGAATCAAATTTGACAAGTAGTAAGCTAACATTCTGAGTAGCAATTTTAATGTTTTCACTTAAATGCTGTTCACTGTTCACCCCTTAGAGAAAGGAGCTAATTGTTATTTAAGGTAGCTGCATCATGTATTATGTAACACTGTAACACACTGACTAGAGATTTACTCGAAGAGTAGGGATTCAGCCTAATTATTGATAACCAATAATCCGGTTAAATATAGTAGGCTGAAATATGTTTATACATATGATCTCTTCCCACAAAGGCAAGTGGATAAACTCACCAGGTATACATACTGCTACTTTTTATGTCAACTTGACTTGGGTAGAATCATTTGGGAAGATAACCTCAATTGATAAAATGCCTCTACCAGATTGGCCTACAGTCAAGCCTGTAGTGTGTTTTTTTAATTAGTCATTGATGTGGGAAGGCTAGACCCATTGCAGGTGATGTCACCACTGAAGCCAGAGGTCATGAATTTTATAAGCAAATACTCTGAGCAAGCTAGTAACCAGTATTCCTCTGTGGCCTCTGCATCAGTTCCCACCTGCAGGTTCCTATCTTGAGTTCCTACTCTGATTTCCCCAGATGATGCTTTTGGTCTAGGTGTTTTATCACAGCAATAGAAACTCTAACTAAGACATGAGGCTAATGAGGATGTGAAGAATATAAGGAAAGATACAAATTCTGAAAGTTGGAAATTGGATTAAGAGGTGATCCAGTGGGCTCAGAGGAAGCAGAGAGCAAAGAATAAAAGAGAATCAACAAGAAAGGTGTGGTGGTGCACAATTTTAATTCTATTACCAGAGAGGCAGAGGCAGGCAGATCTCTGTGATTCCAGGCTAGCCTAGTCTACAAGGCGAGTTCCAGGACAGCCAGAGCTGCTGTTACACAGAGAAACCCTGTCGTGAAAAAAGTGAAAAAAGTAAAACAAACAACAAAAGGACCAACTCGAAGACAAATGATTTTGTATCACAGAATCTAAGAAGGCCCAGGTGCTTACTTAGAAAAGGATGTATGGGGGGCTGGGGTGATGGCTCAGAGGTAAGAGTACTGAATGTTCTTCCAGAGGACCTGAGTTCAATTCCCAGCAACCACATGGTGACTCATGACCATCTATAATGACAACTGTTGCCCTCTTCTGGTGTGCAGGCATACATGGAGGTAGAATGTTATAAACATAATAAATAAAATCTTTTAAAAAAAAAGAAAAGAAAAAGCTGTATGTGAGGCGGGGCTGGAAAAAGGGATACTAGATCAAAGTCTGAGGGAGGAAGTAAAATTCCCTAACTCAACTCAATTTAATTAAAACTGTCCTCCATAAGGAAACATATAGTAATTGATAACAAGTAGAAAGATGTCAAGGTCTATACAGTAAATGCTTTGTCTAATCTGTAATAGAGACTTCTAAATAATCATTTCTTAGCATCATTTCCTCCTGATTGGACAATCACAAACAGCTAGACATTTTAAATAATCTCTAACAAGAAAGGAAGGAAATGGGCTGGAGAGATGGCTCAGCGGTTAAGAGCACTGACTGCTCTTCCAAAGGGCCCAGATTCATTTCCCAGCACCCACATGGCAGCTCGAATAACTGCAAGATCTGACACTCTCACACAGATACATAACAGGAAAAACACCAATTCACATAAGACATAAATAAGGAAAGAAACAAAAGATTTTTTTTATTTTTAGTTTATAAAAACAGCCACCAGGGTTAGACAGATGGCTCAGTGATTAAGAGCACTGGTTGCTCTTCCAGAGAACCCAGATTCAACTGCTAGTACCCACATGGCAGCTCACAACTGTCTGTAATTCCAGTTATGAGGGAGGGAGGGAGGGAGGGAAGGAGGCAGGGTGTGTCATAAAGAAAAACACCACAAAACTTTTAAAATGCATTAAAATACATTTAAAAACAAACTACTAACAGATGATGCTCCTCTAAATAAAAGTCTAATAATAGAAAACGGGCCAGTTTTCTGGTAGCTTGTGCCTTTAATCCCAGCATTTGGGAGGCAGAAGCAAGTGGATCTCTGAACTACAGAGCTACTTCCAAGACAGCCAGGACTACAGAAAAAGACCCTGTCTCAAAAAACAAAAGAAACAGCAGTTAGTAACCTAGAGCAAATACCAGGTGTGGTGGCTCACATCTGCAATCCTAGAACTTAGAAAGCTGAAAAACAAGAGGATTGTGAAGCCTGGGTTACAAAGTAAGACCCTTTACCAAATCAAATAAAACTAAACAAAACCTAAAAGCAGTGAAATGCTTTAGAAAAAAAAGAAAATATAAACATAGTGTAATTTGTGAGTACCATATGTTGAAAAATGATTTATAAAAATTAACTAAATGAATAGTAGTAAAATGTTACTCAGAAACTAGTTGACCTGCTTATGAAAGCTACAATGCTAAAAGTGAATGGCCCCCTAATAAGGAGCAATCAAGGCTGAGAAGGGGTACAACAGGGACCCTTGTTTCCTTAAAGTTACATAGCCAAAAATATGTTTAGAATCTATAGATACATTATTGATGAAATGTATAAGCTATACCTTTCCAAAACACTTCCTTTTGTGTTTGTCATTTAGGTCAAGAAAAAAAAACATAAGAATAAAGACTAAGTCATAAGAAACAAAGCCAAAGTGAAGTAACCAGAACCCAAGAGGGTAAGGAGTTTCTCCTACTCACCATCTCTCTGGCGATTTCCAGCGCTTCCTGCAGGCCATAGAGCCTGCCACAGACCAGGTAGATTCCATTGGCCCAGAGAATACAACCCTCGTGGACCCAAAATTCATTGCTGTCAAGAGGTAGTTCAGGGATTTGTAACTCCAGCTCAGGACCACCTTCTGAAGTGGTAGGTACAGAGGGCTTTGTGTCCAAAACAGCCTTTTCACAGCTGCCCTCAGTGGCTGCTTTTTTACAAGGGAGTCCCCTGGACAGGGACCGAGGGCCTCCACCACAGTCTTCTGACCGGTGGCGCCGCTTGAACCTAGGGTGAGCAGCCAGGCTCCTCTGCTCCTTCTGCTGCTGCTGCTGCTCCTCCTCCTCCTCAGTGTCTGTTTTAGAACCGTTAGAAGTGCTTTTGTGCCGAACCTTGACCTTGCTCTGCATTTCTGTGGATCTTTTAGGAGGTGGATTCTTCGGAAGAGTGGCTGCATAATCTTGGGGATAAAAGGGTCCAAAGAGGTCACCCATGTTCCGATAACTGGCCCACTTGCCACAAAGACAACAAACCAGGTGCCCCATAACAGAAGATTCTGTTACCACAGGACCCTGCAGCATAAAGGATGAAGCTGGGAGCACCTTGCTTTCTGTGCTGCTGGGGGGAGGGGTCAGAGATCTCTGGCCCTTCCTGCTCCTTACCAATTTGGTCTGTTCTTCTTCTTCAGCATTGATGATTGTACAAACAGCTCCAAGTTCACACTTATTTACTACATGGATGTAAGGGAAGAAAGACTTGTTCTTAGCATCTGTTTTATCTAGTGGCTGGGTAGCATACTTTAGCTTGATCTCTGGTTCTTGAGGTTCTACGATGGGAACTGCTTGTTTGGTTTTCCGCTTCCTTGGCTGGGCCCCAGGCTTCCTTCTCTCCCTCCTTTGCCTCTGCTTTTTTGGCTTTGGCTCTCCATCTGCAGAACCTTCTGGTATCTGAGGGGGTTGAGGGGGTGGAGGTGGTGGCTGCTGCTGTTTCTTTTGCTTATTCACACTACCAATCGGTCTCCCCTTTTTCTTTCCTGATGGGAAATACCCTTTAGGGGGAAAACTTTCTTGTTTGGGTGAAATCATGACTGTTTCATTCTCTTTCTCTTCAGCCTTTGGGTTTGCCTCAGGGGCCAAAATGCCCACTGGAGCTACATTCTTAGAGTCAGGAAAGATTAGTGGTGCTGCCCCACCCAGGGAACCATCTGGTCTCCCTTGGTTACCACCAGACTTCTGTGAAGCTGTGGATGTCATAGTACCAGAAGGTTCCTTTCCAGTAGGAGCTGTTTCTGCATGTGCCTCTGTCTTGACTTTGTCATCCCCACTGCCACGCCACTCTTCTGAAGGTCCTGGAAGAGGCTTCTCAACATTTGATTCCTGATTAGTTACACTGACTAGGTCAGATACCACCTCACCTTTTCTCTTCTCCATCTCAGCCTCCTGAGTAGCCACAGTCCCACCTTCAGGAGGACCACTCTTCAGAGACAGTATATCATCCAGTGTGACTGTGTCTCCCCCAGCCTCAGTACTATTTGTGGATGCACTCCTCCTAATATTTGGGGATGTGATCTTCTGAACTATAGCTTCCAATTTCAATCCCCGTCCCTTCCGTGGGGGCAGTATTTTGGTCTTAGCAGGGCTTGTGAGGGTAACAGCAGGACAGTTTCTATTGTCTGGGTTTGCAAAGTCCTTGGAGGCATCTCTCTTAGGGATAGATTTGATATCTTGACTGTGAGAAAGGGTGTAGGAATTGTATGCCTTATCGGCACCTTCTTTTGATGGGTGGAGGCGTCCTTTATCATCAGTGTTACTGTTTTTTACATCTTGTGACTGTCTTTTACTGGGAATAGGAGAGATAAAAGAACGAACCCGCCTCCGCATGATTAAGGGATTTTGAGAAGAATGATCCTCTTGACCTGGTAGCCGTAGCATTACATTACTAGGTTTGGATGACTGTGTAGAATCAGTTAGTACATGTCCATCTGTCTCATGGGGTGGCCCATACCGTTTCTGATTAGACATTCCTGGAGGACCACTGCTTTTTCCTGGAGAAGTCTGCCGAGAAAGATCCCAACAAGACTCTTGTAACTTCTGAGAGCTGTGTTTCAATTCCATGCCTTTAGCAGGCAGACCATCACTAGACATGAGACAGCGCCCAGCTTCCTGAGTGCTTGGGTCATGGTATGTCCCTACTGGTGGGCCATACATCATACCATCTTTGTCATTTTTCAGGGGGCTCCGTACTCTGTCAAGAAACTGCTGCTGCCGTGGGCTCTTCCGTGGCCCTTCTTGCCTATGCTGTGCAGCCGCAATCACTCCCTGAGCAGAACTGCTGGTCCAATCTTTATACTCCTCTTGTTGCTGTTGGTACATCTGTCTCTTATAATGGAGCTGAGAATTCAAACCAGCATTAGGGTCCCCATAAGCATGAGCCCTGGTGTTTGTGTGGTAAGCAGAGGCCAGACTTTCTGAGTTGGGAGAAAAAGTAGCATGTAAAGAACTCCTGTTGGCCCTCTCTGAAAAAGTCATGTGTGGGTTCATGTGATGAGGGTCTGCCCCTGGGCCTCTGCTCCTGCCTGGAGACATCTTCAGTTTTTCTGCAAAGTCATGGTACTGAGAAGAGGACCGACCTCTCATAGTCTCCCGGCTACCAACTCTACCAGGGACCCGCCGCATTGGTGTGGACCTACTATCTTGTGAGCTGTAGTCTGCTGACATTGCCACGGTAAGACTCATGCTTGATGCTGGTAGAATGGCAGTGGTCTCCAGATTTCTTGTTGAAACTAGCTTGAGATTTGGACTGTTCAAAGTCTTCCTCTTTTATTTGCCCACTCTGGGATTTCAGTTTTGTTTCCATGGACACCAAACCACCTGGAAGAATGACTGACTGACTTAAACTTGGGTTGAGACGCTCATTCCTCCCAATTCTGGCATCAGCACCCATGTGTCCCAATGAGTGAGCCCCTGGGTCCCTGACAATCTGTCTTAGTGGAGAAATATCACAGATCACTGACCTCCTTTCAGAAAGGGAGCCCCCAGGCTCATGGGCTGATGATGCAGGTTCTATCTCAAACTTTCTGGGAATGGGATAGTCAGATAAATTGATCTGTTTCATTTCAGGAGCCGTGCTGCTTGACTTCCTTTCCCATGGTCCCCAGTGGGGATTTTCTAACAGAGATCCAATGCTCTTGTTCAGAATGCCCCTGCTGGCTAATTCATTGGCTTGACTGACTAAGATATTGGGCCTTGCAGTTCCTTCCAGGCCACTAGTCATACCTTGATGGTCCTGAGCACTCCTAGGATACCTTCTGTCAGGATGGTGGTGGTAACCCTGAAGCACTTCCTGTAGGAGACTTGGGAACTTCTCATTTCTACCCTTTCGTTCCCCGTGGCTGGCAAAATCCCCCTTTTCTTGTCCTGAAGGATACTGAGGAAAACCACTTACATTTCGTGGTACAGCTGACCCAAAACTCTCTTTGTAACTGTAGCGCAAACTTCCAGGAGATTTGCTAGGCTCAGTCCTGCCTGTGAAACTTGGGCCTACTGCAGAGTGGCTACCCTGGCCATTCCCCTCTCCATTGTGATTAGAGCTATTATCACCATTCTTGTTTCCTTTGCTCCCTCCTCCTGGAGGATCTGGCTGTGGAAGTGATGTGTGGCTGGCTTCCTTTATACCACTATTGCTAGGTGGCCTCTGACTGGCAGCAGGATCCTCCTCTTGGGATCCTTTATCTTGTCCACCAGATTTTTCTACCCTACCAGTCATGGCTTCCCGAGAGACAATCACCCCAACTGTCTTCTCATTAACTTTTGCGTTCCCCTCAGACAGTGGTGTGTCCTTAGCACCTGGAGATGCAGCTTCTTCCCTAGCTGCAGGACTGGTACTGAGCCTAGGGGCCTCATTCTGAGCACCTTGTGTTGGTGAAGAGCCAGCTTTCTCTGAAGCTCCACACTTGTAGGTGGTGTCAGAGCTAGTGCTCTGGCCACTTAGTTGCCTCACTCTCTCACCTTGATCTTCTGAACTACTGGAGCAACCTCCATCCAATGACTCTGCCATAGGGGACTTCAGTTGTTCTTCAGGCTGTGAGCCTTCTGAGTTTGTACAGCTATCTGCTTTCTTAGATGATGATGAGGGCCTCTTGGAAGTCTTCTTCTGAGGTGTCAAGGCATCAGAAAGCAACATGTGCTGGACAGTATTAGGAAGATTGGCCACTTGAGTACTCAGAGCACTCAAACTACTCAACCCAGGATCTGTCAGCCGCTTTTCTGGGACGCCTTCTAATCCAAACCCCTTGAATCCTGCAGCATGAGAATTAGGACTGGGCATCATTGATGGGGTCGGACTGAGTTGGGGCATTAGCTGTAAAATTCGGTTTCTGGAACTCATGGGCACATTGCCTTGCCCACATTGGAGATTCTCACTACTCTGCATGAGAGGAGAAGGGGTAGAGCTACAGCTTGGAGACTGAACCACAGAAGCAGCTGGAGAAGGGTTAGAAATAGGGCTGAAGTTCTGATGAAACTGCATAGGGGACCTTACAGGAACCTCAGGCTGGTTGTACTGCCCCACCTGGCTTTGCAAGGGCAGCTTGGGGGCAGCATTAGTGTACTGCATCACATGCTGGGGGGGATGTTGCTGCTGCTGCTGCTGCTGCTGCTGTTGCTGCTGCTGCTGCTGAGACTGTGGCTGTTGCTGTTGTTGTTGCTGCTGCTGCCCCTGCTGGGTTCCTGGTGGAATCTTTGTCTGTTCAAAATTCTTCATAGACTGAGACTGATAGCTATAATTTGATTGTGTTCCATAAGCCTGTGCATTGGAACCCACATTATGCCCTTCATACTGAGATCCAGCATTTACACTATAACTGCCATCATAGCTTTGTCCAGACTGACTGAAACGCTGTGGTGAAGGAAAGGAGGAGGAGGAGGAGGAAGAAGCAGAAGACTGGTAGTGTTGGCCAAACCAACCTACTCTTAACTGATAACCAGCAGAAGATGGCAGAGTTGAAGGCCGCTGCATTGGTTGTAGATGGGATGAGCCAGAGGCTGACTGTCCAGTGGCTTGGGACAGAGGCTGATGGGATTGGTAAAGCTGTTGTCTCAACTGCTGTACTTGCTGTTGTTGCTGCTGTTGCTGTTGCTGCTGTTGCTGCTGCTGTTGGCTGGAGGCCTGCTGTTGATACTGAGCACTCCCAGGAGAGAAAGGCCCTGTGTAATCCTGCTGATAATGAGACACACCACCAAGGGCAGAGTGCTGTGCTTGAAATTGGCTCACATGACCCTCACTCCCATACTGATTGCCAAAGCTGCTCCCCTGGGGCGGTCCATAGCTCTGCAGAGGACCAGAGGGCCTTCGGTGAGGAGGCTGTGGGGTTCCTGCTGCCACGGGGTCTTTGTTGCCTGTCATGTAGTAAAAATCCCCAGCTTCTTTCCTGAAACCCTGGTAGCCTTGATGGCCAGAGGTCTCACTAGCCATTGCTGTGGCAGCAGTTGCTGTTCCTCGACGTCCACTACTATTGCTGCCAGTGCCACCACTACCACCACCTGCTCCCCCAAAATTCTGGAACATATGGGCCTGACGAGGGCTGAACTCTTCTATACGGGATGAGCTGTGTACCTCCTGTGGGTAGCTCTGCTGGTTTCCGTGGTAACTGCTTTGCTCCCGAAAGGACTGCATACTGTTCAGCAGCACAGCAGCAGGCCAACAGCCCTCCTAGAAAAGGAAAAGAAAGAAAAGCATGAGACATACATCTGCTTGGTACAAACAAAAACCAAGCCTATATAACCCAATGGCCAGATAAAGCTGAGTACTTTAAATTTCATCTCCTTTTTCCTTATTGTATCCATTTCTGATCATGCAAATAAGCAGAGAAATGTCTAAAGAATGAAGGCATCTGTAACACAACAAAGAAAACACTAGGTATACACATTCAATACAGTCTTTTAAAAACTGCATTATTAGATAAACAAGCCTTACAAATTCAACTGGGGTAAATATTGGGATAGTATTACAAAAAATAAAAACACATTTCTTAATTAATCTTCAGTTACAGTGGGGAAGGCTTATAAAAACCACTTTCATCTCTTTAATTTCATTCATTAGACTGCCTCAAATAATGATGAGGCAGTTGTTCCAGGGGCTGTCCACACCTGAGAAACAGAACTATCCTAAGACCTAAGCTAGTTCCTCAGATCCAAATGCATACCACTTCAGGCTGAATGTAATTACCAACTGCCTATGATGACTATTCTCTGGGACACTCAATTCTTTACTACTGTGGATTCCTTATATATTGTAGCCACCCATATAAACATTAGATCTGATCTCTTCTTGACATAAAATTGTGTCCTAAGACCATTCTTGACCACCGATTTCCAGGTATTTAGTGCTAGATATAGGCCAGATAAGTTTCTTGTCTTTCGAACATTTTTTGTGGGGTGGGGTGGGAGGTGTGCCAAGATGTTTCAGTACCTCTATTTTCCATGTGGCTTTCCATTTGCCATCTAATATTCAGTTATTACTATCATTCCTATGGTAGAGAATAACAAAACATAAAGAGCTGAAAAGAATATCCAGGGCTGGAGAGATGGTTCACAGGTTCAAAGTACCTGGGTTTAGTGACTGACTTACAAGAATGTGTAACTCCAGTTCCAGGAAATCTGACACCCTGTGCTGATCTCCTTGGGTACAGGCATACATATAGCACACATATATACAGAGAGCATTTGTTGCTCTTTGCACAGAGGACCTGGGTTTGATTCCCAGCACCAACATGGTGGCTCACAATCATCTCTAACTCCCGTTGCAGGGGATATGATGACCTCTTCTGACCTCCGAAGGTACCAAGCCCACACATAGTACACATATATACACATAGGCAAAACATTCTAATATGTAAAATAAATATGAAACCAATCAATTAACCAATCATTCATGTAATACACACATACATAAAAATTGTGTGTGTGTGTGTGTGTGTGTGTGTATGTATGTATGTATGTATGTGTGTACACGTACAACCAGGACCCAGACTTCCAGAGTTATCTGACTTGAGCTGCCACATCTATACTAATGTTATCACCCTCTTATTTAAGTGGATTTTTTCAATACTTATTTTTAGTTTGTGTTTATGGGTATGTGCACTTGAGTGCAGGGGCCTGTGGAGTCCAGAAGAGGATGTTGGAAACCTTGGAGCTGGAGTGTTACAGGTGGTTGTTGAGTCAACAGAAGCGGGTGCTGGGAATGGAAGAGCAGTATATGCTCTTACCCACAGAGCCATCTTTCCAGCCTCCTAAATTAATTTTATTTTTGCCTTTACTTAGGCTTGTTTCCTCAGAATCAGAGAGGAAGGGTCAAGCTTTCTCAAAGGACTTTTAAAACAAACTGTTTAAAAAAGAAGTTATGAAAGTTTATGAAATACACTTTTCCCACAATGGTCTATGAAGCTACTTTCTTAGTCTCCCTTACAGGAAGTTACAATGGAGCTGCCTATATAGTCAACTAATCACATTCACCATCTCCTTGCTCTGGGCTAGGCCACCAACACTCTGCTCTGCTTACCATGCTTTCTTCCATACAAACACCACCCCCTTCCTGTCCTTTTTACCTTTTTTCAGTCTCCAGGCAGGCATTACCAGTTAGCAAGGCTGCCTGCTGGGCATCCTGTTTAAAACAGCTACCTCATACCTTCACCTTTGTTCCTCCTCCCTCCCCTACTCTGTTCCCTCACTCCCAATACAGCTGCAGCACAATCTAATAAATTAAAGCAAAAAATGTTTACTGTCTTATCGCTCCCTTCAACCTAAAATGTTCCTAAATGTCATTCAAATAGTAAGGAACAGAAGCAGACAATCTGCATGGACAATGACATGGTTTAAAAACTAGGTCTTAACAGAACTAAGGTAGAACTCACATAATCTGAGACACTGCTAAGGAGATAATAGAGGAAGTATCATTAATCTAAAAGCAGAGCTAGAAGACACTCAAAAGCTACCTGTAAAATCCTTTGGGTCCAGTCCTTCAGAAAAACCCACTTACCTTGGGTGCACATGAGAAATATAAGGGAACACTTCAAAAGTAAACAGATAACAGCAGATGAGCAGCAACCCTAAACTCTGAAAGCTTAACCTGTCCCCACCCCACCTCAACACACAGAGGGTTTCTCTGTGTAGCCCTAGCTGTCCTGGAACTCACTCTGTAGACCAGGCTGGCCTCAAACTCAGAGATCCGCCTTTTTCTGCCTCCCAAGTGCTGGGATTAAAGTCATGTGTACCACCACCACCCAACAACCCATTTTTGTTGTTGTTTGTTGTTGTTGTTGTTGTTTTAAGATTTATTATTGTAAGGCACATGAGTCAGTCAAAGATGGTGCTGAGGGAAAGTCAGATGGGCAAGTCCTGAGTTGTTTACAAAAAAAAAAAAAAGGTGATTGGCTGCCTATCGAACCAGATGAGGTCACTGCACGAACAGCTCATGTTCATTAGATAAAAGCATAGATCACCTAGGTGCATGTTAGGCTGACCTTTAAAACCACTGGTTGGTTGTTTTCCAGCTCTGCAGTTTTTTCCTTTAAAAGATGTGGCATGTGAGACAATAAATGAGTTCCTGCTTGACTAGACTCCCTGTTGCGTCTGATTGTCTCCGAGCAGCGCATTTACCCTTCCTCAGACCCAGCTCAGCTTTCTGTGGTTGGGCTAAGACCCTGCATCTGGCGCCCAACATGAGGACCTAAATCTCGGCCGAGGCCAAGTGGTCTCTCAGGGTAAGTGAGACCCTTAGTATGGATAACTCTATTTTCAGAAAGAAGGGAGAAGGGGAAGGACCGGAGAAGTTGGCCAAAAATGTGGCAGAGGAGAAATGGGCCAAACTATCTGCCCCAGATAACTCCAGACCCCTGCCTTACGCTCCCAAGAGCAAGGAGGTTGGGTCCTCCTATATAGCCCTCAGGGAAAAATCTATGGGACCTGGACCCTTATGAGTGACTGGACAACCGCAGGTCGAGACCTAGAGACCCTGTTTATTCGGAGGCCTACCCAATCAAGGAGGGACAGGAAGATGCAACTAGGGCCCCCCAAACCTACCCAGTAAACTTGGCTCCTGCGCCAGGCAGGCCTCTAGACTGGTATCCTTGGGAGGTGAAGGATCTCAAAGAGCTACGCAAGGCCATGCGTAAGATGGCCCTAATTCCCCTTGGGCACAGTCCCTATTGCAGGACATCACCTACCATCCATCCATGCATCCCTAAGGACTGGTTGGATGTGGCTAAGGCAGTCCTCCCTAGTTCTCAATTTATTAAATGGTTGTGCCTTTTATACGGAGGAATTAGGGTACGAGCTGAGGCAAATAAGCAAGCTAACCCCCCCCCATCCCTATTACCTATGCTATGCTGTCAGGAACAGGAGATGGTTACTCCACTGGGGTTCAGCAAGCAGGGATCCCAGGGCCATATCGGGATCAGGTGAGGCAGACTGGGTTAAACACTTGGGCTAAACTGGATGATAGGCC